GTTAATGGATATATATATATATATATATATATATATATATATATATATATAAGTATAAATGCATGTGTGTAATGTTTGTTTAACTAATGATCATTATAATACATGTGTGTATAGAACAGGAAAGATATGTTAGAAAGTAGATTATTAATTATAAATGTAATAAAGATGTTAAGTGATATAATATCAACGTAATTATGTGTTAGTAATATGTAAATGTGTTTGAATACTAAGAAAACCATGTGAATGATCACTAGGATGCTAAAGGTTGGTAAATTGATATATTATGTGTAAAAGTATGTAAAAGAATACTTTACATTTAACGAAGTAAACACATAATTAATTAACTAAGTTAAAAGGGTGAAAATATGTGATAAATCGAAAAATGTGAGCTCGAAATATAAAATGGTCACTTAAACCTTAATACTAAACAATGGTGTTTAATATTGAAGGTGAAAGAAATGTAAAACAGATAAATAATATGTTGAGACACGAATGGAATGTATACTTACTAAAAGTGAACAAAGAGTATAATTGTATGAGATTAAGAGTATATAAAATAATGAGTTAATGCTTATATAATCATATAAGAAAAGATGTGCATACAACATGATAATAAAATAAGATTTCTAAAAGAAAAATATAAATAAAGTAAAAAAATATGTATTATCAAGTGATGATTGAATATATGATCTAAGTAAAGTTAATGGTATGGGTTGCAAGTGTTCAGAAAGGGGAATTCATCTAGCTCACATCGATAGTGTTGCTCAGACGACTTGTTATTAGGTGGTTTGTACTATTTTTTTGTTGCAGAGACTAATATGTAGATGATATTTATTGGACTCAGGTGATACTTCTCACTTTACTATATAGGCCACTAAGTGTCATGCTATGCATTTTTGTCTTTGTGACTTGCATGAAAGACTATGGGTGAACCATAGCATTTGTATGAAATAATATGAGCAGAGCATAGCAATTGTATGAAAGACTGTAGGTGGACCATATCAATTGTATGAAAGACTATGGGGGACCATAGCAAAAAAGACTATAGGGGGCTGTAACAACGGATGTTATTGTAAGACTATGTTTAACTCATTTCGTCTTCACTGCGTCTCCTTCCCCCATTTCATCTTCACTGTGTCTCCCACCATGTACAACCTCCTAAAACCATGTACAACCTCTTCTTGAAACCACTGGGTCGAACTCCAACTATGGTGGCGGCACATGACGAAAGAAGAGATTATTGGTGGTGGTGATGCTCGATCTGAAACCCCCAAAGTGAAATCTTTCATGAAATCCCCAAAGTTATCGATCTGAAACCACACATCTCATCCCCATTTCTCAAAATCCTAGCACACGGGTGGAGATGGCGACATCTCGTTTTTTTTCTCTCACACACACACTCTCTCTCTCTCTCTCCCTCTCTCCTCTCTCTCTCTCTCTCTCTCTGTATCGCATCAGCAAACACACACAAGGTGTGTTTGTGTTTTGTGTTTCTCTGATCAGGAAGAAAAACGAGGAAACAAATGGCGATGAGGCTCAAGGGTTTCAAGAGAAAATCAGGTGAAATCAGAGGGAGAGAAACTTGTGTGTATATTTCTGGTTTTCAAAAGGATCCACCATCATTTTTGATTTCTGGAACGCTTTTGAGATATCTGAAACAATTTTCGGTTTCTAGAATCATTTGGGTTACAAGTTTCAGATTTTTGATTTTTTATTTTCAATTTCTTGAGAAAAACATATCTAGAGAGGAAGATAAGGGGTAGGTGTGCACATTTCCGATGGTGGTGTGGGTGGTTAAGTGTTCAACAAAAGAGAATATATATATATATATATATATATATATATATATATATATATATATATATATATATATATATATATATATATAAAAGGTTTAAAGTTGGATGGACCCAAAATTTTAATTAAAACATTTTTTAATAATTAAAAACAATTTGAAATGTTAAATATAAATCAAAAATAAAATTGAAAAGGGCATTGTAGTTATTTCATGTCACTCAAGGGATTAAGCGTGCAAATTTAAACTAAATAGGGATGAAACGTGCAACTTTTAACCAAACGAGGGACGTTCTGATTTAATTTTTGAAAATAGAGACTGCACGTATTTTTTAACACTTTGACGATGGACAATTCGTGTAATTTACTTGATTTTTTTCCATATTTTTGTTTGAATCTACAATGGATTATTTTTTTCTGTTATAAATAATTTGCTTCCAAAAAAGATATTTAATTCTTTAAAACATTTTGATATAATAAAAAAAGGTTATAAGTTATATTTATTTAATAAAAAATCGATTTGTGTTGAATTGTTAATACGAATAAAAGTTTGAATTTAGTTGGATTGCAAAGTGAAAAAGAAAAAAAAAATGAATAGATAATAAAAAAAAAGTTTTAGAATAGATAATTAGGTTGTGTTTGATTATGAATCTTAGGAATAAAAATAGGAAATTTATAATTCAAAAGATTCCATGAACTATATACACCAGAATTTTACCCCAAATTAATAACTTTCTTGCAAGTAGGTCTACATCATTTTCAAATCCAACCCCTAAGTTTGACTAATTTGTCAATTTTAGTCATTCCTTGTATATTTTTTTATTTTTAAGCCTAAGTTGGTTATTTCCTTTTATTATTTATTTATTTAATCTAAACCTTTTATTAACTCGTTTACTTATTTTTTTATTATTTAATTAATGATTTTATTTTATTTTTCCAAAAAAATTAATTTCACTAAAATGGACAAAACCTATACGCCCAATTTGAAAATGTTACACTAGCTTAGTTTGTTACAATTTGTATTAGCTAAAGTTACATATTGTTCCTCGGAGAATATAAAATATTGAAGTTCTAGACTTCTAGCAACCGAATGATACAACTAAAGATGCCTAAGTCTAACCAACTTATGTTGATCCAGATGATGATGACATTATGTTTGTGACCGACTTATGATTCCAGACTTACAACCTTAGCAGCAAATGACATGACATCCCATGCAATAATTTGGTTACAAAAGAATATTTCACGATGAGTTTATATATTAATATTACCATATGTATACATGTGAGCTTTGGGGAAAGAAATTTGCAAATAACTGTTTCTTTATTGTTGTTCTTAGAGAAAGAGTATCGTCTTCTTTACGAGGACTTTACTAAGGCTTGGTTCCATTACGGTTTATAAATAATCTGTTGATTGATGAATGTAGTGTGAGGATTTTCTCACTTTTATATTTGTAAACCCATGAAAATTTTCTTCTACTAACAAGTTTTCACCATTCTATTGCTCTACATTTTACTTTTAAAAGTTAATTATTCCCATAAATTGTATCAACACACTACCCCTTATTTATTTATCAAGCACATCTATGAAGTTTGAAAAGATTGGCACACCCGACTCTATGAAGTTTGAAAAGATTAACATCAGGACATATTAATTGTTGTTAACTAAGCCTTTTTATTTAAAAGGGTTTTAGAATCTGGACTCCTTTATTTTAATCTATGAAGTTTTGAAAAGATTACGCACACCCATTTGCATATCTTCTATACTAATCTTCTATACTAATAAAGGTGTGGTTGTAATCTTATTTTGCTATGTGTCATTCTAATACATATCCTAATTAATATTATACCATGCGTCACTTTATTGTTTTTCAATTTTAAATTTTCCTCAATATATCAGTAATAAACGTGGCTAAAAAAATCAGGATATAATCCCATAAAATTAGCATTTTGTTTTCAAAATGCTATAAATAAACAACTATTGAAAACCTAAACAAGTTAGATAGTTTAAATATATAGATCTACAAATTATGTAAAAAAATATTTGTTTGCATTATTAATGATTGTTATTTTTATAGTTTCTATGTCGTTTTATTAATGTCAACCAACTGTATACTACAGGGATTATCACCTAGTGTTGAATAAAGTTTGTTAGTCCATTAATCTATATTAGGTTTTATGATGACACGTAGTACTAAGTTGTCTATTTATAAACTAGTCATCAAGTTTGATGTATTATTATAGATAGGCCTCGCAATTGGGTTAGGTTTTGGGTTGGCAGATCAAGGGTTGGCATGTTACAAACATCAACTCAACCCAATCCACATAACGTGTTTAAGTATATGTGGTTATTTTCGGATAACTTTTCACATGTTACATTTATAAGAATTATACATGTCTCTAAATGTCTCTAAGTTAATTAACAAGTAACATTTGACAATGACTAGAACTAAATGAAAAACCAAATACGAATCTAACATAATAACTTAGTAAGCAACACATTTAATAATAATAATAATAATAATGTTTCCAACATAAAGTCACAAACTCGTAAACATCCAAATAAAATTGAAAACATTCATGCAATGTGCAATTTCATAAATAAAATTTTTATTTTTTTAAATATAATATTTATAGTCGGGGCGTTTAACATAAAAGTCCTTAAGTTTATCAGGTTTTGTTGGTTTTGTCCCTGTAACGATTTTTTGTTCGTTAATGTCCAAAATTTATCAAGTTTTTTTCATTTTTGCCTTTGCTACCTATAATAGTAGGTGTCCAGGAGCAAAACTGACAAAATTTAACAAACTTAAGGACTTTTGTAAACTTAAGGGTTTTTTTTTGCAAATTTGAATAACATACTTAAGGTAAAAACATAAAATATTTGTAGAAAGGACAAAAATGAAAAAAAAAAAAAAAAAAAAACCCTTAGCAAATTTTGGACATTAACGAACAAAAAATCGTCATACGGACAAAACCTGACAAACTTAAGGACTTTTATGTCAAAAGCCCTTTATAGTCGGGTTGACCCGCGAACCCATACAGGTAACACAACCCAACACATGAAATAAACAGATTGGCAAGTCAGCAATCTCAACCCAAACCCATTTATTTTCGTGTTGGGTTGAGAATTGTCCTAATTATAGCTAAAACAAAATATTTGCCTAAATCGATAAAAAGAACAAAGTATGTTGCTATTTCCCGCAACTTTAGCATCTATAACTTTAAGGAACGCCCATTTAAAATAACAATACACACTTCATATTCAGTGGCTATATACTACAATATAGCAAAGAAGTAAAAACATGCCATTCAAAACCACTTACAAAAATCACAAATACAACAATGAGAGAGTAATAAAAACATGTTGCTTCTGAACAGATTATGCAACCCTAGTCAAAACAGAAATGTTGGGGCTAATTGGCTCGGTTGACCTTCAGATATGGCAACGCCCCTATCACATTGTTGTAGTCACATCGGTCAACTTGTAGCTGCATCACACAAATTAGTGGTGTCAGAAATACATCACATATTGCATATTTGTATGTTCGAAATTATCAAAGGAAGTATCTCACAACTATTGATCTAATGTCTTAAATACCCTTCAAAGAATGACAAAAGTGGTACTTCTAGTGTACCCAAATCAACACCAACGATTCTTTACATGAAAAGAATTAAGTGTTGTTTGCATTAAGTCAAAAATGAACACCGATAACTAGATTACCAAATTCATGTCCCCATTAAGTCAAAAAGAAACAACACCTATGTCTACATTTCATAAGTTTAAACACTAACCACTTTAGAGAGGCGAGTTCTCCTTTTAGCATTCTTCTTTCTAAGCAAATGTTGTTTTCCAGCTCTCCTCCTCACTATCTTACCAGTGCCTGTTACCCTGAATCTCTTTGCTGATGCCTGCAAATGCAAAATTCAAGATAACAGATCAAATAAACATGATTTGAAGATAGAAGTTGCACACGATATGTAAATTCTTGAATCCCCAAAAAGGTTATCGACATAAGAATCTCTAGATTGAATAATTACTTGATAAGAATCCAAGAAACTATGACCTCAATTAAACAAAAACCCCACATACGTAGGTACTTGAAGCTTCAGTAAAACTGAAATTAAACACACCAAGTCCTCGTTGCAGAGAGTAATTTCATACAAACATCAAAAACTACTGTGAATGAGCATACGGAGAAAGTAAGGTAAAATGAGGGGGAATCACCTTGTGGGTTTTCATCTTATACCCCTTTGCAGCCACAATTGTGAGAGACTGGGGTTTTCGGTTCGGGGAAGAGATAGTGATGGGAAGAAGTGGGGAGAAAACAGAGATGCTGTGTGACGATGAGAGGTTCAATGGCGTCGATTTCTTCGCGAATTGTGAAAGGCAAACGGTGCTAGTACAAGAAGGGGTTTTTCGAAGGGGTTTCACAGGAGTTGAGAGCGAAGTGCAATTAAAAAACGTTGAGGACGCCATTGTTGTCATCCTGGTGGAGCTCTGTGTTTGTGCCTTGTGTGGATAAAGGGATTGGGGGCTTCGATCTTTTGTGCTATATGCGTAAACTAGCTTTATCCATAGTTACGAAAACGAGTGCGAGCTAGCAAGGTTATCTTGTCTTGGAGTAAAGTTGGATGTGTATCCAAACACTAGCACATACGAGTTGTAGCTAGAAAATAGAGAAAATAAAAATATGGGAAATTACTAATCTAACCATTTTTCTTAATTATTTATCAAAAAATAGACAAAATTGTCTCATAGCCAAAAATAGCCCATAAAACCGTAGTCAACTTATGGTTGACCACGGTCAACTCTGTTGACTAATGTTTTAGCCCGAAAAGTATTATTTCGTGGTAATGAGCTACTGTTTCACGGGTCCGTTTACTTTTTCGTGGCCCATTAACCCAAAGTATAAAATGAAAAAAAATTCAGTTTAGGTGTTTTTTCCTATTGTTTTCTTAGGTTTGGCTACTTTTTTCTCTCAATGGAGCACCCGAGAACAACCAGGTTTGTCTACTTTTCATAAAAAATTTACTGTGTTTGTGATTAGGAGTAGGTTTTGTATATGTGGTTAAATTTTTTTTGAAAAAAATCGAAAAAAAAAAATATAAAACCGTAGGTTTCATACGAAACCTACGGTGTACAAGTGCCCAATGCACAGATTGTGCAATGTCGACTTGTACACCTACGGTTTCGTATGAACCGTACGGAAATTTTTTTTTTTTCGTTTTTTTTTTAAATCGATTCAATAGCATCGGATCTTGATTTATATTGTATTCGTATAATTTTTTTTTTGAAAAAACAAAAAAAAAAAGGAAACCGTAGGTTTCCCATAAAATACGTTTTTTTTTAATAAAAAAAACTTATAACTAATAAACATTTGTATCCCCTTGTATGTATGTTATGATTTTTTGTTGGAAAAAAAATCGTAGGTTTCGTAAAACGTATGGTTTTAATATATATTTTTTCATTTTTCTTAAAAAAAATTGTTTAAACGTATTTTTAAGGATTGTATCTCATTGTATGTATGTTATGATTCAATGTTTGCATGTTGTTAAAAATGATTTTTTTTATATGTCTCAATTATAGCATACAATAGCAATGTACTATCGATTTGAAATTGTTTTTATGTTTATAATGTGTAGATACTTTGAAGTATACTGTATTGATAAAATAACATTGTGTTTTGGTACTTTCGGGTTTGTTATAAAATATGTTATTGTCATGCCATTTTCAAAGTACAATGCTAAATTTGGTATACTAGTAGTATAGAAAATACAAAAAAATATAGTCAATTAATTTCCTTTGGTATTTTATACAAAGTAAATAGAATATATGAAATGATTAAGTCCTATATTGTGTACTTTCTCTAATTGTTTATCAGTTTTTTTTCTTTTGTAAAACTTTATTTAACCTTAATGTTTATTTTATTTTGTAGCTTCCAAACAAAACGATGATGGGTCACTTATCTGTCAAAGCTTCATGCCATAAATTGCATGAAGTTTTGAGTCGCTTGAACGGACCCGTGCGCGATCTTTTTTCAACAACTAGCTTCGGTTACTTGTTGGACCTACCAGCTCAGTCCGGAGACGGACTTCTTATTCATGGGCTGTTACTGCATATGTTGCGTCCTACTGAAACGGACGCCGTTGAACGTCTATATTTTAGGTTTTCTAGACGTACACTGTCATTTGGGCCGGAGGAGTTTTGTCTTGTGACCGGACTTTACATGGGCCGGTGTCCTACATTTCGGTCCAGAGTCTTCCCATATCACACGGACACTTCTTTAGTTATAGAAGATTTAGAGCTCTTTATCTTGAATCAACGGTTCAATGAGATATCGACTCACGACGGTGTCCGTGCGATTTTGCTATATATCCTCAATCAAGGTTTTTTGGGAAAGGAGCTTAATGATAAAGTCACCAAGGAATTTGTGTGGGTGGTGGAGAACCTGGATCAATGGAATAGGTATTTGTCAATTTAATATTTATAATAAAATACTAATTTTGATACGTTTAACTAATACTTTTTTCTTATAATATAGGTTCTCGTGGGGGAGTTATCTATGAAGTAAAATATACCCTAGATTGTCGGGTATGTTTAAGAAATTTGAGGATCATATGTCCAACAATCCAACAAAAGCGATTGTGTACACACTATCGGGTTTTGTTATTCCTTTGAAGGTATATTTAAGTAATTAAAAAAATATATTTAATAATTTATCGGTTTTTATTTTTTTTTTAATTTTAGTTAGTGCTAACACTTATAAATTAACGTATATTTATTACAAGATATGGATATGAGAGTTGTTCCCAGTAATTCGGGGAAATGTTGCGATACGACGCAATTATTTATATCCTCGTATATTGTGTTGGTTTCATATTTGGAGGTTAACTTGGGCGAAAGTTTGCGATGTTTTCGATGTTGATCAGGACGAGGCGCATCAACCCAAAAAAAAGATGATTGCCTCAGATGCCGAATCCTCTACTCCACATTATTTGTCATATATTACTAGTCTGAATTGTGAATCGTCTGAAGTCCCTTCTTCTGTACGCTACAACTTTAGAAATGATGTAAGTAAATTTGTAAAAGCAGAATCTAGTATAATAAAAAATTTCAACTATTATTGATATATGAAATAATTTATGTAGGGGGCTGATAGGTTTTATACAAACAATCCTATGTGTGCATGCAACTCTAATTGGATCTATGTTTTCACTATAAGACATACAACTATATGAACACAAAATAAACCCTGGCATGCTTCTATAATTTTCGAAAATCATATAGAAGTGTAGTAGTCATACCTTTGTTGTTATATTGCAATAACAACTAGTTTCCTTGATCTCTTGAACTCTTGAAAGCAAGCACCACAATTGTAGTGCCTCTAATGGCTCACAAACACCTTGAAGCAAGAAGGCAATTATGAGAGAGAGGGAGGATACTAATTTTCGGCCCTAGGGTTTCTCTTTGAATCAAGTGGCCGAAAATTGAAGCATAGGGCATCTATTTATACTGTAGGGTGCTAGGGTTTCAGTCTAAACCCTAATGGATAGCTTAGCCACCAAGCAGCCCAAGGAACCTTCTGGAATGAAGCCCTTGGACGAAAATATGATGATCCCTCATCATAATTTTGTTCCACCTTGTTCCACTAGGTTTCCCAGCCCAAAACTCAACTATCACACATTTGACAGTTTATACCCCTTTATTTAATTAATCTCTTTTAGTCACCAAATTAATTCCTAATTAATTTATGACTAATACTAATTAAATAAATATGATTTCTCCTTTAATATATCATTCTTATAATATATTAATAAACCATAATATCTTCTCTCTCATATCAAATTACCTTGTCAAGTTGCTTTGGTGAAGGCAACCCAAAAGGACCATGCACACTCGGATCAAGTACATACCAAATATAGTTACGGACTTAGACACTAATCCAACAGTCTCCCACTTGGATAATTCTAGTAACTATATCTCACATATGACTTCCGTATCCGATTAGCAATCGTAGCTTTCAATAGCCGCTGTCAACTCTGACCAATAATCTGTCCTTCAGATAAGGGATCGTATAATCCTTTGTTCTAGATATCATGCTAACAATGCTTATTGTCCAGCATTTTGTTTCTCGATCTCTGATTTGTTCGACATAGAACTCAGTTGAACACATCAACTTCATCCTGACCGGGCCCGACACATAAGTCAAACCAAATCATCAAGTGGCCAAGATATCGCTTTTATTCTCATAGAATAAAAGGAACAGAAAACGTCGACTTATATGATTTTATCATTTACTAGCTAAGCCACACACAATAATGCATTTTATAACATCAAGTTACTGATGCGTTTTCGCATTATCAATGTATAATCAACTAGCAAACAATAACCATATCTCTAGGTTTAAAGATTATATGATATTATCATCTTGCGATCACTTGTGATAACATTCATGAAGCGATGCTAGCAAGTGCGGGTCTATTCCAATGCTCAATACAAATTTCATAAGCACTCATAAACTTTGCAGCAAACCTTTGCTATGTCTAAAACTTTTCAGACAGTCTACAAACAAATTTATGACAATCTTCCTTCATATCTACTTCCAACATATGAGCGATTGTGGACTGTTCGAATAATCTTATTATTCAGGAAGTCAAAACATGCAAAATTGAAACAATAGATAAATAATCAACACAAGATAGAAACTTTCTTATAAATAACACACCTTTATTTAATCATCAAATGTTGAATATAAGATCATCCATTACAAGTTTCCTACCTATCTAATCTAAACTAATATCGTCCTTTAGCCCTACGCTCCTAGCGTGCTGCAAATGTTTAACCCTACTCAGTCCCTTCGTAAGGGGATCTGCTGGGTTATCTTCCGACGATACCCTCTTCACAACGAGGAGTCCCTCTTCTACCCGATGTCTAATAAAATGGTATTTCCTGTCGATATGTCGAGATCTGCCATGATCCCTTGGTTCCTTGGTTAAGGCAACCGCTCCTTCATTATCACAGAAAATTCCCATGGGCTCCTTTATGGATGGCACAACTCCAAGGTCTCCAATGAAGTTCTTCAACCATATAGCCTCCTTTGACGCCTCGCTCGCCGCAATGTACTCTGATTCGCACGTTGAATCAGCTACAGTTTCTTGCTTGGAACTTTTCCAAGTCACTGCTCCTCCATTCAGGGTAAAGACCCAGCCCGACTGTGATCGGTAATTATCCCGATCTGTCTGGAAACTAGCGTCACTGTACCCTCGCACCCTTAAGTCATCACTCCCACCGAGGACTAGAAACCATTCCTTGGTCCTTCGTAGGTACTTAAGAATATTCTTGACAGCAATCCAATGTGCCCTACCAGGGTTCCCTTGATATCTGCTGACCATGCTCAAAGCGAAAGCCACATCAGGGCGAGTACAAGTCATAGCATACATAATCGAGCCAACTGCGGAAGCATAAGGTACTCGGCTCATATCAGCTATCTCTGCCTCTGTACTCGGGCTCTGAGTCTTACTCAGTTTGGTATTGCATTGGATTGGTAACTCCCCTTTCTTGGAATTTTCCATACTAAAACGTTTTAGTACCTTTTCCAAG